TGTATGTGATTTGTTTTCCAAAGGTTCCTGTGTGTAAGTTTGGATGTTGGGAGGTGGTGGGTCCTTTAAGAGATGGGGCCTGGTGGGAGGTTCTTATTGGCCCCTGCCCTTATGCTCTCCCCGCTCACACAGGCTGCCCTGTGATGCCATCTGCAGTGATGTAACATAGCCAACAGGACTTCTGCAGAGCTAGCAAATGCTGTTTGGACTTCAGCCTCCAAAACTGTTAGCTAAATAAACACTTTTTTTTTCTGTATTAAGTACCCAGTCTCAGTTCTTCTTTATAATAATGGAAAATTGACTAATACACTGACCAAAGTAACAATCAAAAAAGAATAAAATTAAAATATTTCTATAGGGCTGGAGCTGTAGTTCAGTAGCAGAATGCTTGCCTAGCCCATGTGAGGCACTAGGTTTGATCCTTAGAGCACTACAAATAAAATAAAAGCATTCTATCCATATATAACTACAAATTTTTTAAAATACATCTATATAAAACTTAGAAACAACTACATGAAAAATACATCATTAATAAATGGGAAATCTTTGAAAATACGTAACATGTAAAAAGATCTTAAAGTTTGTATTTAAAAAGATGATAAACAAAGAACATGAATAACCCCCAAATGACTAGCAAACATAGTCAATAAACACATCAAAAGTATTTAACCTCACTAAAAGGTAAATTGGGTTTTGTTGTTGTTCCTAATTAGTTACATGTGATAGTAGAATGCATTTTGACACATCATATATAAACGGAGTTATCACTTCTCATTCTTCTGGTTGTACATGATGTGGAGTTACACTGGTCATGTACTCATGTATGCACATAGGTTAATGTCCCATTCATTCTACAATCATTCTTACCAACCATACTCCCTCCTCTCCTTTCACTCCCCTGGGCCTAATCCAAAGTACCTAATCCAAAGTACCTCTTCCCTAGCCCCACCCCTTTATTGTGAATTGGCATCCGCACATCAGAAAAAACAGGTAAACTGGTTTTGTTGTTACTGTTTCTTTTAACTAATATTCAAAGCTAGCACCTAAAATAAGCAATCTGATAAAATGATTATGGAAGTGTACCATTAGATTTGTTTTATGATGAACAACTTAGAAGAGCATACAAAAACTTTAAAACTGCATTCTCTTTGAATTAGCTATTCTTTTTCTAAATATTTGTCTAGGAAAATAAGGATATATACTAAAATTTAGTTTAAAGGATAGTTCCCTATAAACAGAAAAAGATGGAGTCAGCTCTAATCATCCAATAATAAGTGACGGATTACAGATGAAGGTAAATGAGTACAGTGGAAGAAAAGAGTCATTAAGCATGGTTTGTAGAAATATGCTTACTAAAATATAAGAGTATCACAAAATACTAAATATAAAAAGTTGGTAAACCATATGTTTAAATACTTATAAATGTGTAGGTATAGAAAAGTTCTGAATAGATATATTATCTTTTTTAAGCAACATTCTCTCACTCTCTCTTAGTTTTGATGCCTTTATTTATATGCAGTGCTGAGAATCGAACCCAGTGCCTCATACATGCTAAGCAAGTGCTTTACCACTGAGCCACAACCTTAGCCCAATAATAATATTTATTAATTCAGATTATGAACTTATTATCTCCAATTGACACTGAATAACATGGACATAATATCTTTTTAAATTTTAATAGTGGTTATCTCTGGAAGTCAGGTTTACAACTTTTCTTATTATTATTTATATCTTCCAGTTTGGGCACACTAAAAATACCTTTTAAAAAAGAATATTTTCAAAATTTATACAAGTGAGAAATTGCACAGGAAAGCTGAGAACATTCCTAACAAAAGAGTGCCCTTATCTATGCACTTCTCATATTATATAGCAATTTGTTAGGTTTCTGCCTCACTAAATTCTCACAAAATAGAAACTCGAGTCTTGTTCATTTCCTTGCTATTTCTAATGCCTATTATTGCATGACATAATAGGCCAAATAAATAATAGGGAGTGCAATCTCTCCAAGATACCTGTTGGGCTCAGAAAACCATACCCCAAAATAGAACTAAGGTCTATCTGACCTTTAACATCTACTCTCACCCCTCAAACCTCAACTCTCCCCCCATCTCTCCTCCTCTTTGCCTCCCAAAGTGCAGGAAGGGGCTTTTTCTAAAGTTCCCCTGTGCCATCCTTAAATAACAGGGGATAGTAAAACACCATGTCACTGACTGGCCCTTTCTATTCCTAACTATATAGCCAAGTCAAGGAAACTAAGAAAGAGAGTCTGAAAGAAATGTCCAGATACGTATTATCTATTTTTTTTTATAGTGTTAGGGATTGAATCCAGGGCCTGGTGCATGTGAGGCAAGCCCTCTTCCACTGAGTCCCATCCCCAGATAACACATTTTCTTGAAGGGCACTGACTCTCATGTATGCTGGGAATTAGGACAAAGTTAATGTTATCTGTAGAGAGCTGCCTTTCTTGAAGGCACACCAAGTTCCTTGGGATGTTGCTAATACAAAAGGACAAAGCAAGCTAAGGTGATGCTTCTTCTGTAACCTAAACTATAAAACTCTCTTCCTGCAATAACAGAACAGGTCAGAGCATTGTGGAGAGGGAAGTGCTTGTCCAGGAAGCTGGCCCTAGATGAAGCATCCTGAGGTATAGAGGCGCATAGCTTTCTGGGGAGGTGTAGGAGGCACTGCATGGAGCAGAGGTATACCTGTCTAGCCCATTGCAACTGGAATTCCTGGTGAAACACCTGTCTATCCTATTGCCACTGGTGAATATCTGGCTGTCCAGCCTATCACCACTGGACTTCCCTTGTAAACATTTCTCAATAAATACTATAAGTCATATCCCACCTCCAGGTGTCCTCCTTGGTTTCTTGGCTTCTATCTCATTTGCCTAGCTGGTGGTAAACATTACATTCCCCTATCTACCTAAAAGCTGGATCCCCCAAAAGATTAACTAGAAAGAAAAAAAGGCTAGAATTGACACCATATTCAAAGCCCAAGCAAACTTCCCACTGGATTACTGTTTGTTATTTGGGCCTATTTATCTCCCCTAAAATCACTTACTCTTTCTTTAAAATGGCCTTACGTCCTTCACTTCCCTCTCCCCTGTGAAGTGGGTATTTAAGCTTCAACCATCTGACCCTCCTTTGAATTTCCTATTTTGTGTGGTTCCTTTATTCTTGCATTTTCAAATTCATATGCCTTTTCTCCTATTAATCTGCCTATTGTCAATCTATTTTGTACAATCAAATTATTGAATCCCCAGGGAGTGGAAAGAAAGTTCCTTTTATACCTCCACACCTAAGGTTGAGCGTTTATCAGGAAACCCAAACAATCACCTATGAAACAGGCCAAGTTGGTCACAATGCCTCTCAGTAATGAAAATTTCATTTAGCCAGCAGCTTAGATTAAAAAAAAAAAAAAATTCTGAAGTTTTCCTTGACTCCTCTTTTCTCTCTCTTCTTACATCCAATCCATCAACAAATCCAAGTGAGCAATTCCTGTCTGTTCTACAGTCAAGTTGGGCTCTCGAATTTTTCACTGGTTTAAGTCTACTACTAAAACAAAGCAAACAGAGACCCTGCAGACAAACATAGGCATTCTCAAAGCAGGTGTAATTAAGCCATAGGTACCAAGGTCAGCTATGGTCCATGTCACAGTACTTTATTAACTAAAAATAAAGTACTTACACTGGAGAATGATTTCCCTAAGAACATTCTGGACAGTCTCATTATTACAACATTCACTTCCTTTCTGAAATACACCTGAAGCAGATGAGTACTAACAAGTACCAGATCATACATTTTACCCTGTCATTGAAGTAAACTTATAATGATACTATACTCCTAATGACCCGAAAAGGCATGATTTAAAAAAAAAAAAAAAAACACCTTGGTAAGCAAAATAGAGTATAGAATCTAGACTATGAAGTTGGGTCCAACTTGAATTAGAATTCCATTTCTGTCAACTTCATTGATGTGTGATCCTGGGCCTGTCCTCTAATTTCTTCTAAGATAGGTAACTCCATATCATCCATAAAACCCAGGTAAGAACACCTACTTACTAAAGTTGTTCTAAGGATTAGGACGTGGGTGGCAACTATAATAGCATCAAGTACATGGTGCCCTGAGCAAAGACAAAATGTGAGAAAACAGTAAGAAGCAATTGAACAACAAGCTGTGGAAGATGAATATCTGTTTGCAAACCCAGATGCCCAGGCTGCCTAATAGAAAACATCTCTCCAAGGAGTCTAACAGAGTTAGCTGGAGAATCTATTATTCGATGGGGACCTACACACGTGCAGCACACATGCACGCACACATACACCCTACATGCCTGCCACATTCCCTCATAGAACAGTCATCTTAAAATTTACTTTAGGCTTTAAGGCTAGGGGTGTAGCTCAGCTGGAGATGCATCCTTAGCATGTGCAAGGGCTCTAGTACCACCAGCCCCCATCCAAAATAATTAGAATTTATACTAGCACTGACAAACCCAGTTTTATTTTTGTAGGTCTCATTCTCCTCAACCTATGCGCTGTTATCAATCCCAAATCTGACTTTCTGTAGCCTAAAAGCAAAAATGAAAACCTGAGACATTACTTGATAAACTCTTAGTTAACTAAAGGCTATTGTCCCCTGCAGCACCCAGGTTGTTTGAATAGACATCTCCCACCTTAAGCCTGTCAGTGACATGTCCTTTGTATAGCGCTTCTGTGGAAACTATGGCCATAAGTAAACCTCGAATAGAAATATTGTTTTCTCAATCTAAACTTCATCTTTCCTGAGTTGCTGATCTCCCAGCTTGGGTCGGTCAGTCTCCAACTAGACTGTACCCCACTGCCCGGGTATCCCCGACCCGCGTCCCGCCTCCCAGACCACAAGATGCAAAGAGGAAGTTATGTGCCAAACCGACGAGAACGGCCAGGCTCGGGGGCTGCAGGCGGTCCCGGGCCCCTCGAACCACTCGGGGAAGTCGGGCGCAGGTTCTGCACACTGTACCTGGATAAAGCCCTGCTGGAACAAGGTGCTGTGCACGCAGCCGGGGACCGTCCCCAACAGATCCAGCGAGCCGTTCCCGTTGCGGATCCTCCAGCTTCCTCCTAAGCTGTAGCTGAGCGCCCCGGAAGTAGAGCCCGCCCCGCACAGCGCGAGCAGCAGGAGCAGGTGGAGGCGCATCTCGGCTGCTGGAGACCCGGGACCATGAAGGTCGGATTCTTAGCTTCAGGGAAGACGCGGCGAAGCCACC